GAAGAACATTACCATGCAACGCCGGAGTTCTTTATTATAAAGGAAACCAACACAGAGCATAGTCAGGCACGTATCTTGGACTTCAAAAATAGCAGATTTCAATAAACTGAAGAGCAATGATAGGTAAGCTCCCCTGGCAGTAGAAGCTAATGAGAAAAGGAGCTTAAGACCGGTGGGAATTCCTAAACAAGGAGATACAGAAAAAACACAGTTACAACAATTCCAGTGAGGGCAAAAATGAGGGGCGTCCAAAGAAATCGGTGGGGCGACACAGAAAACTTCCAGAAGATCCGAAAACTCACAAGGCAGGGGAAGCACCCAGAGCGTGGCTTCCGGAGTTCTTTTCTACCACTCTCAGCAGGGTTCACATCTCTGCGCGTTTGCCTGCACAGGAGAGCATGAAGCAAGCCGTAGATGTCCTGCCTCGGCACTTGCGGCTGGGAAGAAAAGGGAGCTCAGAATGGGATGGTCGCCAACGACCTGAGTCGCTGCCCGGCTGCAGCCTCTCTAACGGAATCCGCCGGGGAAGGTTTAAATCTCCCCCCCAGCTTCTGGTGGGGTCCTACCCATTTCAGACATGATATTTCTTTTGCTGGCTTCCCCCACCCCAGCAAATCTGGTCTGATGCAGTTTTTAGAGAGTTATTGGCTGACTGACAGACAGCTGGACAGAGTCCCAAGTGCTTTTACCTAATTCCTTTCCAACATTCTGTTAGGTTGGAAAGAATAAAAAGGGCTTCTTTAGATATGTTTAAACTAAAAGGGGGGGAAAAAACCCCTAAGGAATCAGTATACCAACTGTTCAGTGAAGATGGCAAAATGCCAACAGGTAACTCATCTCCTATTTTGGTTCAGGTAGTTGCTTCACCAACAAAAAACAAAAAAAACAAGGAATTATGATGGGCAGAAAGAAGAGGCAGAGGTGAAGCTTGAGAGTATAAAAACATGACCAACCAATGCATATTTAGTTTAAATGTCCAGGACCAGGTAAATTGCATCCTAAAGTACTGAAGGAACTTGCTTATGGTCTGCCGTGAATTCTTACGAATTACCTTTGACAATCCTGGAGAATTGTGAACTACTGTACCAAATGAGTGGAGGAGAACAAGTATTGTCCTTATCTCCAAAAAGGAAAAAAGGAAGATCCAGGGAATTATAATCCAGAGAATCTGACATCAATACCAGGAAAATTCTAGAGCAGATCATGAAGAGATCAGTCTGTGATCACCTTGAAGACAATGTGGTAATTACCAGGTCAGCATGGATTTGTCAAGAACAGACTAATCTTACTTCATTTTCTAATTTGTTAATTTACTCAGTAGATTGTGGGAATGCTGTAGACATAATATACCTTCAGCAAAGCATTTGAGAGAACACATGCTGATTAGCAAGTGAGTTAAATATGGGCTGGGTGGCAGGACATTACATAGCTGGCTCAGAAATCAGGCTCAAAGAATGCTCATCAAAATTACCACATAAAACTGGGGAGAAATGTTGAAGAGAGATTGAAGGAGCTTGGGTCTGATTTACCCTTAGAGGAGAAGACTGAGGAGGAATATGAAAGACTCTTCAAGTGACTGAAAGGAGGGCACATAGAAGGTCAAAAACTGATTTTAAATGGAATGGATATCAATTACAACAAGGCAGATTCTATCTGAATTTTTGAAAAAAAAATCCTAATGATAAGAGAGCACAACAGTGGAACCAGTGGTGGGTGTCTCTTTTTCCCAGATGCATTCAAGCAGAAACTAGATAGCGACCGGAAACTAGATAGCGGGACACGTTAATTTGGATTCCTGTGTTGAGCAGTGGGTTAAATTGGATGGTTTAAATGGTCCCTTCCAAATTCTATGATTCTGCTGCAATATGGGAGGTTCATCCAGCACTGTTCCAACACAGGAACCTCATCAGGATAGGTGCCATCGTTTAGCTGAGAGGCAGGGAGGGCCTTCAGGTGCGCAAAAAGGATTAACATCTAGGTTCTCTGTAGCGTAGCAGGACAGGAAGAGGAAAGCGGGGCCCAAAGCTAAATAGGCCCAGAGGGGCAGCTCTTCTTACTGGCTCAGCTCAAGAGCAAAATCCTGCTGATCGATGGATACTTAAAGCTATCTAAGCAGATCTCACCATTCTGGAACTTAAATCAAATTTCTTCCCATTATCAGAGGACGGAATCTGAATCCAATGAATTGGGAATTAGCAGAAGAAACTCCTAGGAGCATGCTTTGCCAGGAAGGTGGGAACTGCAGCCGTTTAAAAAGTCAGCAAGAAAAAAAGAAAGAAACTGTGAGCAAAAAATGATGGGGGTGCCATCGTTGACAAGTATGTGGGTGTGTGTGTGTGGGTGGGTGGGAGTACTCAGTCTGTGGGGAGGCTGGGTTTGCGTGTGTAGGTTGTACATGAGCCAGCGCAGATCTTTGCCCTTCAAAGCAATTAGTCCTGGCAGCCAGATACGCTCTGAGTGCTGGAGGGTGGCAGGGGTGGGGAAAGATGGGGAAGTCTTAAATTCCAGAGAGAGAGTGCAGCAAAGCAGACTCCTTTTTTGGCGGAAAGTTGCAAGGGTGCCTCCGTGCCTGAGTTTTCCATGGACCCCTGGCTAGGTTGAAGGCTGATCGACACGGCCTCTGCGCCTTGGTGCCAAGGTGACCAGCTCCCCACATATTGAGGACTTGTCCTCACAATGCAGCCTTCATCTTGGTGCCAAGCCATATCAAGGCAAGAAAACAGCATTTTCCATTGGAAACTAGAACAACAACTCCCCTAGACAAGCACCCCCGTCTACACACAGGAGGAACCCAGTGACCTCTAAGTGGACCAGGCCTTTGCAGACTCCCCCTCCCATCCGGCCCCCGGGCTCAGCACTTCCGTGGCCATTTCTCCTTTGTCTCCTGGAGAGACGAGAGCCCTGCTCTGGGTTGCGGCCTCACCCTGGCCATTCCCAGGGGTGGCTGCCCAGTGGCGGCTCCCGCGAAGCCCACCTCCTCCTCTTGCTTCAGGGCCGCTGCTGGATTCTGCCGGGTCCTGGGTGCTGCCATGGGGCTGGGGGGCAAGGGAGGGCAGCTTCACAGGCCCGGATCTCATTGGCGCACTTGGCTGGTTCCTGCTGCTGAAGGGGGAGGCAGGCTTCTTCCCCAGAGGCATTCCTGGGCAGTGCCCCGGGGCAGACCCTGGCCTGATCCAGCCTCACGTTCTATGGAAGCCGAGGGCCCGGGGCAAAGAGAAGCTGGAGGGGCTTCCCGTGTTTGGAGCAGAGAGCGCTTCTTTCTCTCCGGGCATGGCAGATCCCCTTACGGTTGCTCTGCCCCAACCCTGACTTTTCCCAAGAGCAAAGTCAAAGCGGGGAGGAATCCCCTGCTGCTATACGAGCACAGTCACACTGACAACAGACCGCCATCAAGCCAACACCCAGACTGCTTTTGCCCCTATTCAGAGCTGCCAGGCCTTCAAAGGATTGCCCCCCTTACTCAGACCCATGCTGAGTGAGGAAAATGGGCTTTGTGGTCCCACAGCTGGAGGGCATCCTCTGTAGTCAGGAGCCATGCTCCCATCCTAGGACAGGAGGAAAACGCATTGCTGGGGGTGGGGTGGGGAGTTAATGAGCTGCAAGTAGATTTTTGCTTGGCTGCTGAAGGGCTTTCTGGTGTTTTAGCAGCTAGACTTTAGCAAGCCTGTTGAGGTATTGAATTGTAAAATAATCTTGCTAACCCCGCTCAGTTGTGTGCATTATCCAGTGACTTAGTGGCAACATGAAAAACACTAAACCCAGGTTAATGAAACACAATTGCTATGTTTACATATCGAGATAAACCATTTTTTGACTTCAGATGAGAGCCTTATTCACACAACAACCTAAGCCCACAGCTGGGTTTTTAGCAGGCAGGTTCTTGTTAGTCTCCAGAGGGGTGGGTGAAGCAGCTTGACCCTTTACAAGCTCGCAAATGCATGTCTGGGGCTGGGGTGGGGGTCCCCTGGGAATGGCTTGGGGCGCGGTTTCCCGTTAGAGCATCTCTTGGAGGCCAGACACCGGAGGCTTCTCTCCCATGGCGAGGGCTGTGTTCTAAGGACCCGCTGGGCACGGCCCCTCCGGCCATGGAGAAGAGGGGAAGGGGGAGAAGCACGGTATCCTCGGCTGCTCTGCAGAGGTGGGAAGGGCTGCTGGGGGTGTCTGCGCCCTGTACAGCAAAAACAGCAAGGACACCTTCAGGGGATGGGATGGGATGGGATGGGATGGGATGGGATGGGATGGGATGGGATGGGATGGGA